CACCTTTTAACTGATACCCAAACCCTGAGGAAAGGACTTCTTTTCCACACGGAAAATGGCCTCCGTTTGAGGCCACTTGCTGTGGCAGACAGGGCGGCGCCAGGTTAGAAATCTGCAAACTTTGCTGGATTTCTCCAAAATTAAAACTGCCAGAAACTAGAACCCTATAAATCCTTAGAGCCACCAAGGCCACCTTTTATCTGATACCCAGACCCTCAGGAATGGACTTCTTTTCCACGTGAAAGATGGCTTCTGTTTGCAGCCACTCCCCCGGTAGACAGGACAGCGCCACCTCAGAAATAGGCAAATTTTGCTGGATTTCTCCAAAACTAAAGCTTCCAGCAACACGAACCCTGCAAGTCCTTAGAGCCTCAAAGGCCACCTTTCATCTGATCCCCAGACCCTGTGGAAATTACTTCTTTTTCCCACGGAAAATGGCCTCTGTTTGCGGACACTCATAGTGGTAGTCGCAGGGGTGGCAAGCTAGAAATTGGCAAATTATTCTATTTCTCTACAACTAAAGCTGCCAGCAACTAGGACCCTGCAAGTCCTTCGAGCTACAAAGGCCACCTTTCATCTGATCCACAGATAATGGGGTAATCATTTCTTTTTCCCACAGAAAATTGCTCCGTTTACGGCCACTCGCGCTGGATCACCAGGAGGCACTTACCGAGAAATTTGCAAATTTTGTGGCTTTCTCCAAAACTAAAGCCTCCATCAAGGGGATCCCTGCAAGTCCTTAGGGCCACAAAGGCCACCTTTCATATGATACACAGACCCTGGGGAAAGGCCTTCTTTTTCCCATGGAAAATGTCCTCCATTTGCGTACATTCTCATTAGTAGTCCTTGTGGTGGCAATTTTGAATTTTGCAAACTTTGCTGGATTTCTCCAAAACTAAAGCTGCCAGCATCTAGGAGCCTGCAAGTCCTACAAGCCCACAAGGCCACCCTTCATCTGATTTCCAGACCCCAGGTAAATGACTTCTTTTTCCCATGGAAAAGGGCTTCCGTTTGTGGCCACTTGCCCGGGCCAACAGGGCGGTGCCAAGCTAGAAATTAGCAAACTTTGCTGGATTTCTCCATAACTAAAGCTTCCAGCAACTAGGACCCTGCAAGTTTTTAGAGCCCCAAAGGCCACCTTTTATCTGATCCCCAAACCTTGGGGAGAGGACTTCTTTCTCTCTTGGAAAATGGCCTCCATTTGCGGCCACTTGCCCTGGCTGAACAAGGCGGTGCCAAGCTATCACTTGCAACACAGCACAGCCTCATGGAACACAGGTGCCCCTGGAACTTTGCTACTGCTCATGAATGAATGTATCCATTGTGAACAGAGGAGAACATTGTTATAAAATGGACTCTCATGGAAGCAAGTGTCAACTCTTTTACAGCAGGCCCTCATGGAACCTAGGAGACCACTGTGATGCAAAGGAATCATGGGGAAAAAGGTTTTAATTTTGAACAGTGTGGGGTCTCATGGAACAAAGATGCCACTTGGAAAATGCCAAGGCATGTGGAAGTCTGCATCCACTGTGACAAAGCACAGCCTCAAGGAACTCAGAAGACCATTGTGACGCAATGGAATCTCATGGATCCAAGGCTCTACTTTGACTAAGTTGGGCTTCATGGGCCACAGGAGCCACTGGGACATCAGCAGGCTTAGTAGAAACAAGGCTCCGTTATTGCGCAGCAAGGCCTCATGGCACCTGGGAGACCATTGTGATGCAAAGGAATCTGATGGAAGTAAGTGTCAATTGTGACATAGCAGGGCCTCATGGCACTCAATAGACAACTGTGACACAATGCAATCTCTGGGAACCAAGTGCTAACTGCAAACAGAGTGGGGCCTCATGAGACACAGTTGCAAGTTGGATATTGTCAGGGCAGGTGGAACTCAGTGTCCATTGTGACACAACACAGGCTCATTAATAATAGCAGAGCACAGTGACACCATGGAATCTTTGGGAACCGTGGGTCACTTGTAAACACAGCTGAGCCCCATGGAACCAAGGAGACCACAGTGGTGCAATAAAATCCCAAGGAAACAAGGGTTTTATACAGTTATAAACACATAAGTCTCTTATGAAACTAAAGGGAACATTGTGATGCAGTGGAATCTCATGGATTCAAGGCTCTACTTTGAGCAAGACAGGCCTCATGGAACACAGGTGCTACTGGGACATTGCAAGGCCTAGTAGAAACAAGGTTCCATTATTGCACAAAAAGGCCTCATGGCATCTGGGTGGCTACTGTGCCACAACAGCATCTGATAGAAGTAAGTTTTCATGGAGACACCAAAGGACCTCATGGCACCCTGGAGACCACTGTGATGCCATGTGATCTTGGGGAATGCAGTGTCAACTGCAAAGATGGCGGGGCCTCATGGAACACAGGTGCCACTGGGATATCCCCATTGCTCATGGAAGCAAGTGTCCATTATGACACAGACAGGCTTAATGGAACATAGGAGACCACTGTGACACAAGAAAATCTCAAGATACTAAGGCTCCATTGTGACACAGAGGGCCATCATGGAACCAAGGTAACCACTGTGAGGCAATAGCCTTATGGAACAAAGAGTAAGTTGTCAACACAGCAGAGCTTCATGGATCCCTGGTGCTAATGGGACATTTCCAAGACTTGTGCAAGCAAGTGTCCATTGTGACACAGCCAGGCCTAATGGAACACAGAAGAACATTGTTAAACCATAAAATCTCATAGAAGCAAGTGCCAACTCTTTCACAGCAGGGCCTCATGGAACCCAGGAGACCGCTGTGATGCAATCGAGTCTTGGGGAAAAAGTTTCAATTTTGAACAACACTGGGATTCATGGAACACAGGTTCCACTTGTGTACTGCCAGGGAAGGTGGAACTAGGTGCCCATTAGAACACAGCAGAGACTCATGGAAGTCAGAAGACTAGTGTGATGCAATGGAGTCTCAAGGATCTACTTTGATTAAGTGGGACATCATGGGTAATAGGTGTCCCTGAGACATTGCCAGGCCTAGTAGGAACAAGGCTCCATTTTTCAAAGCATGCCCTCAGGGCATCTAGAAGGCCACTGTGTCATAAAGGAGTATGATGGAAGCAAGTGTCCATTCTAACGTAGGAACACCTCATGGCACCCAGGAGACCATGGAGACACAATGCAATCTCTGGGAACCAATTGGCAACTGCAAACTCTAACCCCTAACCTTAACCCTTACCCTAACCCTCAGCCCTTCTCCATCACCACTGCCCCTCTGTTGTATTGCACTACATAGTTATTTAGTTGTTTGCACTGGGTGTTTGGTAATTTACACTGTTCACATGATTTGTATCCTATGACCACATGGTCTTCCCAACTCCTGCCAAGTGTCAGCATTGGTGGTCTCTTCCTGGGTTACCCCTCCTCTTGCCCCTCCTCACAGGTATCCCATTGGCTGTGGTCCTCTTCCTTTGCCCCCACTCCCCCAGGTATAAAAACCTAGAGGCAGCTGGCTGGCCTCTTTTTTCCATGTGAGATTTTCCATCTGATGGTTCTTCTGGGAATAAAGAGAGGAAATTCATTCCCACGTGGAGAAGAATGCTTCTTGTCTTTTGCCTTTCTCCATGTAAGATCATGTGGGCTGGGGTCCATAGCTAGTTGGATTGGACCTGTACAGCCTGTCCAGACATGGATTCTTACATCCCACCGCCCCTGTCCTAACACCAGGAAGCACTGCAAGCCATACTGCACTGCAAGTTGGAAGTCAAGGTCTAGGTTGTGCTCAAGAATGCTGGAAAACACCTTTCTGAGAAGAGCTGTCTTCCCAAAATGCAATTTTGCATTCTTTCCCAAAGTTCATTTTTAGCCTGCCACCATCTTGGGAAGGATATCTTGACTCACATGCCCGTACCACCATCTTGAGTGTACCTGTAGTGACTTCTGGCCATTATTGCCATCTTGAGTGCGGTGTGATGCAATTTCTGGTAAATCCTCACCATCTTGAGAGTAGCACTACGAGTTTGTTCTGGATCCACCATGTTGACTGTTACGGCACGTGACTTCCTGTCATGCTTGCCATCTAGAGAGTGGACTGATGCCAATTCCTGACTCCTCTACCATCTTGAGCACATTATCATCACAGAATCACAGAATCACTAGGTTGGAAGAGACCTTTAAGATCATCTAGTCCAACCCATGCCCTAACACCACCTCAACTAAACCACGGCACTCAGTGCCACATCCAATCTTTTTTTAAACGCGTCCAGGGATGGTGACTCCATCACCTCCCTGGGCAGACGATTTCAGTTCTTTATCATTCTTTCAGTAAAAAGCTTTTTCCTAACATCCCACCTAAGTTTCCCTTGGCACAGTTTAAGAATGTGTCCTCTCATTCTGTTGGTTGTTGCCTGGAAAAATAGACTACCCCCCACCTGACGACAACCCTGTTTCAGGTAGTTGTAGAGAATTATAAAGTCACATCTGAGTCTCCTTTCCTCCAGCCTAAACAACCCCAGCTCCCTCAGTGTTTCCTCGCAGGGCTTGTGCTCCAAGCCCTTCAAGTCATGTGACTTCCTGCAGCCAAAGCCCAACAGCACATGGCAAGAGCCCTCTTTCCTCATTTGGCTCACTACAACCCTCCTCAGCCACTGCCACTGCAGCTGGGTTCCGCACCTGGTGCTCCCAGGCATCACATGTGCGCCAGGGCCAGCAGGAGGCAGCGGTAGGCATGGAAAGCGCCTCAGTGACACTTCGACGAGTCACTCACTGTCCGTGCGAGGATTTTTTAGTTGCAGCACTGCTTTTTAGCTGCAGGTGGCCGCAGTGAGTCGTTTAGGTCATGGCACGTATGCCCATTTCTTAGTTGCAGTACTGCTTTTAGTCTGCAGGTGACACTACTGAGTCACTAAATAGCATATATGCGCAGTACCCCGTAGTTATCACCAGGTGGCAGCAGCGAGGTGGCAGCAGAGATTTAAGTCCCAACCAAGATATCAGACTGTTTTGGAGTGACACACAAAATGCTTTTTGCTTGAATAGACAGAGCTATTTTTATTGCCTTCATAGAGATCATATTTTCTCCCATTTTCAAGCCCTTTCTTGTTTAAATTATATATACAAAAGGTACATTTGTATTTTCAAACGCTGTGTATTAAGATAATATGCGTATTTACAATTTCTTATACTCTTAAGATCCTGCATATAAAACAGTAGATAAAGGGTTGCATTTGGAAATCAATGTTTATAAAAATTATTTACATATATATATATATATATATATATATATATATGTATGTATAAAACATAAGAAAATTTACCATTTTTAACTACCCTAACCATTACCCCTTACAACTGCACCTAACCCAGCAACTCAGTATCTCAGGAGCAGTTCAGAGGCAGCTCCCAGGAGCCCAAAGCCAGCCAGAGCCATAACTTGTGGCAGCTTTCATCTTGTAACAATCCTCCAATGTTCACAATTTTAGGAGGCAGAATCCCACTTTTAGCCCCAAGAGTGTGACTGTGAATGTTAGCTCTTTTCCAGAGGAAGGAAAGCCTCGCAACCCGCTGTCTCAGGGACAGTTGAGACACAGTCCCCAGAAGTCCAAGGCCAGCCAAAGCCTGGCAGATTTCATCTGGAAGGAATCCTCTGATATTCACAAGTTTAGGAGGCAGAATCCCATTTTTGGATTACAGCGCCTGACCACAAATTGATGACCCTTTTCCATATGAAGGAAAGCCTGGCAACCCAGTGTCTTGTGGGCTGTTGTGTTCCAACCCAAACCACTCCGTGATTCTACAATTGGGAGTGCTTCAAGAAGTCCTGCTGAATGAGTTCAGGGATAGAGGTGCTGCTGCAGGCCACTAACTGCACCATCATCCCAGTGCCTGTGGCTGGGCATGGGTCAAATGGCCCTTTCTAGGTGTGGTGAGAACACCCTGAAAAGAAGTTGATCTTTCCTCCTGAATGTTTGCAGCAGAACACAGAAATTAAGTTGATGCTAACATAAATGCGGGTTTTATTTATCTGGGTCTGCAGCTGTCATGAACTCCATCCATTTCCGGCTGCTCAGTCTTTTAGTCAGTGCCCAGCTCCCCACACTCTCCTCCCTGATAGTGCCCAGCACCATCCAGAATTCAGGGTCACCATCGAGCACAGTGCAGCCAGATGACTCAATGTGCATGGCACAGGCATAACCCTGTGAATAGCCTGCTTGGTCATAAACACCCAGGATGTGCACCTGGATCTGCATGCCAGCCCCAGAGCCACAGAAGTGATGGGCACACATTGAGCTGATGGCATCAGCTACTGTTTGTTCTAAAGCTACTTTCTCCACATTACTGTGGGTCCCAGTGACTTTACAGTTGTCATCCACACCAAAAAATAAATATCCACCCTCAGTGTTTGCAAAGGCAGAGACATATTTAGGAAAGTTTTTTCTGATGTATTACAGGCTACTCTTTGTACTGCATTCCTTAAATTCAATATGTGTTGCCTGTGTGAAACCCAGGACCTCCCCAACCAGCACTTCAACTTTCTTTATAAACCTGGCCACAGTATCTTGGATGTTGTGCTCTTGGATGTTCGGAGGAGTCTCTTTTGCTCCCCCATCAAAACTCAGCTGATCTCTCTTGGGGGTCAGTCCATTCTCTTTGTGGCACTTGACACAGTTTTTCTTCCTCAGGAATTCAGGAGCTTCTCTGGAAGTCACAGGATAAACCGACGTGCCAGACCTATAAAACAAATCAGTGGTTAAGCTGCAGCAGTGCAACTTTGTGGCTGCACCTCCCAGCTCCGGGCCTCCACAGCTCCATTTTTTAACAAAAAGCAGCAGGTTACTCCCCTGCTGCATCCGTTCAAAGTATGGATGAGCCTTTCTTCTGCCAGTGCAATCCCTGAGGCTCGTCTCTATGTCTCCACAAATGCCATGCTCCCAGAAGAAGTAATTCCTGTCCTCATGCTCCATTCTCAAAATTCCTCCTCCTGAATTCAGCAATGCACGCTGCTGCTATGGAAAAGACTTTTTCTGCTTTCTGATTGCTAGACTTCTTTCTGGAACTCTTTCCTAAAAGTGTTTTCCCAATAACTACCAACACATCAGGATAGTTTGTGGTCAAATTAATCGGCAGCTGCCTCTCTTGGCTGGCAATCATGATCCTGAAATGATATATTATTAAAACCACTTCATGATTATCATAGAATTGTTAGGGTTAGGAAACCTTTCTGAGACCATGGAGTCCAATTGGTCCCACAGCACTGCCAAGACCACACTAACCCATGTCCCTCCCCTCGTGCCACATTTACACATCTGTTAAATCCCTCCCCAGGTGGTGATTCTATCACTGGCCTGGGCAGCCTGTGCCAGAGCTGGAGAACCCTTTCACTGAAGAAACTTTTCCCTGATGTTCAACCTAAATCTCTCCTGAGAAAACTCAAGACTATTTCCCCTCATGCCACTCCTTGTTCTGTGGGAGCAGAACCCAACCTCACCTTGCTTGCACCCTCCTGTCAGGGAGTCCTGCAGAGCAAGAAGGTCCCCCTTGAGCCTCCTTTTTTCCAGACTGAGTCTCCCTCTCCCAGGCTCTTCAGCTGCTCCTTATCAAACGTGCTCCAGACCATTACCTAGCTCCACTACCCTTTACTGGACATGAATAGAAGGGCATACACGCAATATCGGGATCAAGAAAACTTGGGAAAAAGGAAACATTGGAAAATGAAAGTGAAAATTAAAATAATTTATTACAAGGGCAGTCAGGTCTGAGCGGGCTTGGTGCGGAAGCCGCGGCGTAACGATGGGAATTGCTTGGGCGCTCTGGCACTACTCTGAAGTCACGTCGAAAGCACATCCCCGCCTCCGGAAGTCACGGCCGATTTTTCCCGGCCCCCCGGTACCTGAGGGCGAAGAGCCCCGCCCCGCGGGCAGAGTCTCTGGGGTGGGCGGGGGCGGCTGCGGAGCGGGCAAAGCCCCGAGCCGGGGCCACGGTCGGAGCCGCTGCGCAGGGCTGAGGGGCCGTCTCGGGCTCCTCTTCCCTCCCCACCCGCCCCTGGTCGGCCCCGCCGGGCGCCGCTGCCGCCTCGTCTCGGGGCCGTCCCCCGCCGCTCCAGACAGCGCCGGCGACCGGCAGGGAGGAAAGTGTGGAGAACGGGGACCGGGCGCTGACCGAACTTCCCGGGGAATCGGGCTCCGGGCCGGCTCTGTGGGCGCCGCAGGCGGCGAGTGCCGGCACAGGGCTCCGTTTGGAAGAAACTTCCTTTCTCTTCCCACGCGGTCCCTCCCCACTCGGCCGACATCGTGCTCTGCATCTGTATTTCAAAGTTTAATTTTAAAAATATTCTATTCAGTGCTAAAATAACTTTCCACTTCCACGCGCGGCCGCGCCTCCAGCTTCACCAGGCTCGATCACGGACTCGGCGGGACATGCAGTGGCAGCGGGGGGAGAGTTGGGGCTAGGGGGGCAGCGGGTATTGGGGGGCGGCAGAGCCCCAGGGCGGGAGCGCTTCCCGGGAGCTCCAGCACCCTGCTGCTTCCTTTCCCACCTCGGAGATAGCGGGTACCTAGGCCGGGGCAAGGCCCTCCAGCATAGGGCAGCGGCTCCTCCTGCTCTGCAGGCTCCCGGAGGACTGCAAATTCCACTCGGCTGGAGTTGTGCCCCGAGGCAGAGCCGAGGCCGGTCAGGACCTGCCCTCTGGGAGGGGAAAGCGCTCCCCTCTCTCCCAGCATGAATGGCTTAAACTAGCAGCTTATTGCACAGCGTCCCAGTGGGTCCCTGCCAGCCGCTCCCTCACTGCCCCCCACACCCATCATCACCTGCTCCCACAACCGAGTGAACACATCACCCAGAGCAGGTGGAAGGTGCCTCTCCTGTTCCCAGCACCCAGGGGAAGGGTGGGCAGGGGAGCCACAAGCAGGCAAACAGCATCTGCCAAGTGTCCTGGGGACCATGGAGAGCAAGGAGCCCCATGGAGAACCCCCCCCCCGACATGCAGCCCACCCAGCAGAGAGCCCCAGCTCTAGGGCAGGGAGCAGGGAGAGAGGGAGCCAATAAATAGAGGCAAATTTGCAGGTACTGGCAGCAGCCCCATCCATCGGGCAGGGCAGGATATGGCAGGGCAGGGCGCACTTGATGTGAGTGGTGGGAGCCCCGACACTGGGGAAGGGGCAGGCTGGAGGGAAGCACTGGTCCTGGGGGGCCAGGTGGCTCTGCAAGGGGCTGACGAAGGTGCCGGGCCAGGCAGGTTAGCTCTCTGAGGCTGTGTGGCACACAGAGTTCTGGTCAGCACAAAATCTCTTCAGAGGCGGCGCACCAGAGTCCTCATCCTCTTCAGTTACCTGCAAGAGCCAGAGGTCACAGGCAGTGACACTGAGCTATTCACACCTAGACAAGGCTGTGTCATACCATAGGGACAGCCCAGGCTGTCACCCATGCACAGGCCCGAGGGCACCAGGAATGGCAACCCACTCCAGCCCTGCAGCCTGCCAGAACTGTCATTTTCCCACATCCCCAAATCCTTCCCTCACACTCCAACACTTGATCTGAACCAAGGAATAAAGACTAAAGCTCAGGAAACCAGGAGGTTCTGGGAGCACCCAGGGGCACTTTGGGACTGCAGAGAAAGTCCATCCACCAAGATGCTTCTGCTACAAGAAGCAGGAACAATGGTCAAAGGGCCAATCTAGGTCCATGCACATTTAGAGATGGTTTGAAGCCCCCTTCTCTTACCTGAGTCTCAAGGGGGACTGGCTCTTCCTTTGTGAGAGTGGGAGGCTCATCTGCCACTTCTGAGGAAGGCAGGGAGGGCTCTGGGGAGAAGAGGTGGGTCAACAAAAATGCAGACCTCGCACCCAGGTCAGTGCTGACTGAGGACAGAACGCGTAGCTAAAGAAGTCCCCGATGCCCTGTCAGCTTCCAGCAGTGCCATGGTCACCCACTGAACCACCACATTCCCTGATCCCACCCATCTGCCTCCTCCATTCTCAGCCCAGCACCCACCTTCCAGAGTCTCCTGCCCCAGGGTAGGAGGCTGTGAGTCATCTGTGCGGAAGTCAGACGTGTGGGCAGGACTCATGGACTCGCTCTGTTGAGGACTGGGGCTGGAGTTGGGACTGCTGTCCACCTTGAGCTGGTATACATCAGACAGGGAGCTCTGGTTGCTGTTCTCATCTGCAGAAACAGCACCTGGTGAAAAAGAGCACCTTGACGCAGGGGCACAGGCAGCTCAGGGCGGCACTGGAAGCTGGGGTCTTGCTGAGAAGGCAGAGTACAGTCAGAGAGTTAAACAGGGGATTCACTGTTCCACATCAGCCTAAGGGCTGTCAGGCACAGGACTGAGTCCTCCAGAACACAGCGGGAATCATATACACAACTGGCCATGGGAGAGGGAATGTTCCTGCCTTGGGAATGAGAATGAGCACTGCCAAATCCCACATCTGCAGCTTGGGAGGGCCCTGGGCATCCAAGGGCAGGAATCTCCTGCTGTGTACCACGGTTTTGTTCCTCCTCTGTGAAGCAACACAAGGAATAATGCTCAACACCATTGAAGAAGCAGGCCTGGCACACACCTTGCCAAAGTGCAGACCTGCAACATAACCCCACCACATCTCCTGGGAGCGCCCGCAAATTTTTCCTTAGCCACAGACAAAGCAGGTGCTGGGCAGATGTGTACACTACCTCAGCAGCAAGTCTGGCGCTGCTGAAACCTCTCCTGGCTGCACCACAATGCCTAGACCAAGAGCAAGGCCAGGGACAGCCTTTGCCCCTTCACCCTAAGGTCCATGGAAGTAACTTTGGGAAAAGCAAGCTTGGCTGCAGGTGGCTATTGGCCTCTCCCCAGCAGAGCATGGAAAGGGGGGATCAGGAAACCCCACTTCTCCAGTTGGCTGTGAAGCTTCCCACAGAAGATACCAGAAACAGCCCATTAAGACTCTCTAACAGCAAAAATGAACAGTTTGGACAGGGACAATCCAGAAGTGGATCAGCCCAACTCAACAGCTCACTGTTCTCCACTCCATGCCAGTGCTCAGGGGCAAGCACTGCTCTTCTCCATATTGGCAGCACACAGAACCAACAATGTCCCAGCTGCTGTACAGCCTTGGAGTCTTTCCCCACGTTGAAGGCAGCTCAGCCCAGACCCACCTTGGAACTCCAGAAGGAGGGAGGAGTTGGCAGAGGTGTCAGCTGGGAAGCCATTGGCTTCTCGGGCCGTGCTGCTACTCGATTTGGATTTCTCTTTCTTGAGGAGAGAAAGAAAAGCACAAACACAATGTCAGAGAAACACATGCTGCTCCAGAGAAGCCATTCCCCTTTCTGTCTCCAGATGTCCAGAGGGATGTGCTCAAGCTGGCCTCTTCCCTTGGCTTTGGGGGCACATTCCTAAGTGAGAGGCAAAACTCCATCTATGAAGGGACTGGGAATCAAGAAAGAAAGGAGGAGCTGATGCCCATCTAGGAATGTCATCAAGTAAAGCAAATCCTTGGAGGAGTCAAGCAGAAGCAGGAGGGGTCTCAAGAGAGCTCAGGGGGTTCGATAGTTCAGGGGAGGCTCAGGTTGGCTGAAGGGGCTCTTTGGGGCTGGGGGTTGCCCAAAAAGGCTTGACAGGAGCTCATGGGGCTTCAGAAGGGTGGGGTTCGGGGGTCGGCTTGGAGAGGGATCAAGGGCTTGGAGGCACTCGGAGGATCTCGATAGGGCAGGAGGGGCTCAGTGGGGCCTCAAAGGTGCTCAGCAGGGCTGGGAGGGCTCAGTTGCTGGCTTGGGGAGAGCTCAGGGGTCGACTTGGAGGGGACACAAGGGGGTTTGGTGGCGCCCGGAAGAACTGGGGGGCTCGGAGGTGGCTCGGGGGGCTTCGATGGTCGGTAGGGCTGGGAGAGGCTCAGAGTTCACTTAAGGGGGTTGTTAAGGGAGCTAGGCTGGCTGTGGGCGGTGGCTCCCGGCCCATCTCCACCAGCGGTACCCACCTCCTTACTGTCCGCCACTGGCACCCACTTGAATATCCGCAGAGACGTGTCGCCCACCGTCACCCACTTCTTCTCCCTGCGGGACACAACGCTGACGGACCGGACCGGGCCTGGGGCACCATGGCAACAAACCCCGCCATCCCGCCACGCTCCGGTTGGCCCAGAGGAGCGTCAGCTCAGCACCGCG